CCTAATTTAGAGAACTACCCAGGTGTTGACAGGTTTGGGGTTGGCGGGGGATGCTGCGCAGACGTGTTAGTTGACATGAGCTTGTGAGCGTAAACGGAATTAGGATTCCGACAAAACGGGTCTCAGAACGACACAGCGAAGTGGGTGTGTTCCAAGGAAGAAGAGAAACAGGGGAGAGAGCTGACGAAGAAGAAGAGAGGGAGAGAGAGAGACTGACTTTGAACCGCTTGCCTCAAATTTGCTGGAAGAAAGGCTCGAAAGAAGAGAGGGAGGGAGAAGGACTCATTCCAGCCATTATCTCCAGAAAGGACCTTGTATGTTGCGCAGTTCATCGAGCCCTTGTCAGCGGATCTGCCCTGAGAGAGGTAGTCGAGAAACGAGATGTTGTGACCTTCCACCGGGTGAGCATTAAACTTGCAAAGCCGTAAGACAATGAATAAGAGCGGATGAAGAACCGAAATACTTGGCGGCGAGAATCAGATCGAATCGTATGGACTCGTGGAGCCGCCATAGCAGACTGGGATTGTCCTCGGCCATGCTCGTGTGCCCATGCCTCCACGACGTGCCACATCTGGCCAGAGTGCCCCAGCCGTTTCTGCAAATCATTTCTGCTGGACTTGCGTATGCATGCTCGGCACAAGCCTCGTCGGACAGATCTGTCTTCTAGTCAGCTTGCTTGGCCGGCTCGCAGAAGTTCAGCATGCTGGGGAGCTACAATCAACCGTGAAGATAGCAAACGCCAGCACTTCGAGTGCCATTGACGTTGAAGCGAGCAAGAAGGACCTTGCGACACCTGCAGCAGTCGGAACGTCCATGGACTTCCTGGCAGTTGCTTGTGCGGTGGGTGCCGATCAGGACGCCACAGCGCTGTTTATCCGGTCCTATCAGCGTGCCACTCCGTCCGAGCTTGTCCTTCTGGTGGAACAGATGCCTTTGGAGTCCGACTTGCGGGACAGTGGTGTCGACCTCACACGCCTCAAGCTGGAGAGAGTACTGCCTCTGCCGTCCATGTGGAGCATGCTCTCACGCGAGGATACATACATATTTTACATCCATCAATACCTCCAGCGAATGCCAGGCCAGGTAAAGATCATGCAACTCTCCAATGTCGATGATATAGTTTTCCAGGCCGACCCCTTTGCATGGGCTTCTGAGCAGGAGCCTGGGCTACAATTATTCCTGGACGAGCCCGGGGTCGTTGTCAACTCCGGCAAGACGTGGAAGCTGATAGAGTTTTGCTATGGTACTCAGGCCGCACGCCTGCATTCGAAGCCACGGATACCTGCCGGCTACATGATCGGTTCGAGCGCTGATCTGCAGCAATTCGTGTCGGATCTCGTAGGCGAAGTGACCTCCAAAGGTGCATGCGGGAATAGGCCGGGTGTGGTTAACGCCGCGGAAAATTTCATGGCGCACCTGGCTCACCCAGGTATCAGTCTGCATTTGCACGACAATCGCAGGGGACCTGTCTGGTCAGGCGAGCACGTCCCTGCCAACTCCTTCGTGTCAGACGCAGAGAACCATGTCATCAACGAGGATGGCTACCAATATGCGGTGTTGCGCAGCTATCATGCTCATGACGAACTGTGGAGGAATATTCAGCGGAAATTCGAAAAGCTACAAGCACCACCTGACTTCCGCGCACCTGACACTTGTGCTGCGTTTCATGTGGAGGCCTGTGACATGCCTGGTCACGATCTGGCACACACTCCGAAGGACACAGAATCTGACTGTTGCGCAGCTTGTGTCGCTAATGTGGGCTGTGGTGCTTTCACCTTTTCACTTTCGCGAAGGCACTGCTGGTTGAAAAGGCCCGGTGGGGCCAAGAAGAATAATCCAGCCTCAGACATGCGATGTGGCGTTCGAGTGGTCGAGGCCACGCAAGGCTTGCCTCCCACAGGCATCGTGTGACATGGGAGGTGATTCACAAGCAATGCCGAAAAATACTGTTGCAAGCAGACGCAACTTCATTGTTTTGGTTTCGTTGTTATTTCTCCCTCTCTCTCTCTCTCT